TCTTGCATAAATTCCACCTGTGTGGAAGAAAACACGATGTCTTCTATAGTTTGGCACAGACATTTGGAGAACCAAACGGCATGAACAGGGAGTGGCTTACCGATTTGGCGAGGATGAGCGCGTCGCTCATGAGGTCCAGTAGGGGCGTCTCTGTGTGGATGTTGTAGAATGAGTAGGCGGCTTTGAGGCTCTTGTGAGCAGGGTGGTGCATCACCGTGGAGGGGAGCGTATAGAAGCTCAGGAAGTCAGTCAGTTTACCGTTGGGGCTCTAGGAGCAAAGGTGCTGTCAGGCAGAGATCTCCTTGAACCAACTGCATACGTGCATTTCCGCTAACTCTGATCTCTCCCTTGCCCCACAGAAGGAAAAGCAGTAAGTCATACTTCTTTCTCGGCAGTCCAATTTGGGGCCCCTTATATTATGCTGTGTAGAGGCCAAAAAGAGCCTGGAGTTGGGACTTCAGCCTAAGTGCCCGTTGGTGATTTGCACAAAGTTCTTAGGAAGCAGAATGTCATGCCTGTAATCCCAGCACTTTGGGAGGCTGAGGCGGGCAGATCATAAGGTCAGGAGTTCGAGACCAGCCTGACCAACATGTTGAAACCCCATTTCTACTAAAGATACAAAAACTCAGCCAGGCGTGGTGGCACGCCCCTGTAATCCTAGCTACTTGGGAGGCTGAGTCAGGAGACTCGCTTGTACCCGGGAGGCGGAGATTGCAGTGAGCCGAGATCGTGCCATTGCACTCCAGCCTGGGCAACAAGAGCGAAACTCCATCTCAAAAAAAAAAAATAGAGGCCAGGCACGGTGGCTCACACCTGTAATCCCAGAACTTTGGGAAGCCGAGGTGGGCGGATCACAAGGTCAGGAGATTGAGACCATCCTGGCTAACATAGTGAAACCCCGTCTCTACTAAAAATACAAAAAAATTAGCCGGGCGTGGTGGCCGGCGCCTGTAGTCCCAGCTACTTGGGAGGCTGAGGCAGGAGAATGGCGTGAACCCGGGAGGCGGAGCTTGCAGTGAGCCGAGATCCTGCCACTGCACTCCAGCCTGGGCAACACAGCCAGACTCGTCTCAAAAAAAAAGAAAAGGAAAGAAAGATAGAAGCAGAATGTTCTAAAAGGAAAGCTTCCCTCAGGCTGACAAATGAGTCAATTCTTTAGACTCAGGGAACAGTGATAAAAGCAGTTGTTTTTGCAGAAATAAAAGCTTTAAGGATTGGAGGGTTGCCTCTCCAACTAAAAGATACTGTGTACCATCTCACACTTTCTTAGCACAAGGAAATAACTGTATCAGGCCTAGATACCGTTGGGTAGAGTCCGGAAGCTGTCTGGAAGAGTTTGCAAGCTTGTGAAAGGTCTTACTACTGCACCGAAATATACACATGTGAATAACAGGAGAATTTTGCAGCTATCAAAAATAAGGGATACAATGGATGACATTCATTTCATCATCATTGGCAAACCTTCCAATACAAGAAATTAGCCAGTATTGTTCAGGTTGTTGTAATTAGCTGTGGTGGCCTTGCTGACTTTTAGAATATGATGTGTTTGAATTGTGTGGCTGAGGAGGCTGGGCCACACACATGCCATTGCTAGTATTTCTTTCAGCAGAAAAGGGAATTCCAGAAGGATGTATGCTCTGGTTTTCAAATGCTTCTGAGTCATCAGACCTTTCCTCAGCCAGCAAGAAGCTAAAGGGGTTCATCTACAGTGATTCCCTACTGCTCTGTATTAGCAGCTCAGTACTGGAGATGAATTCAACCTTCAGGTTTCATAAGGATTTTAGATTCTTCTAAGAATTTCTCATATCTGTCTCATACACCGAATTACTGCAGGCACCTGCAGAACCTGATTAGGTTCCCCACCCCATTTTCATCATCTGCTTTCAGAAACTACTTCTTCACATTCAGATTGCTGGTAAAATTACTCTTTCCTCTCTTGCTGTTAAAATGACCTGAGAATCACCAACTGTTGGGGAAGAATGGGACAATCTGTCCATTGTCCCTCACACCCAATCAACTGTAAAGACTGATTAAAAACAAAAACAAAAACAAAAAAACGCTCACAACAAAACCCACCATGGCACCATGTCTAGCTTGCTTATAAGCAACTTCTAACAACTTTCAAGGAACAAGTAATCCCTACATTACATACACTGTTCCAGAGAAAAGAGAGGACAAGCTCTTCAACTCATTCTAACTTTACTATCGAAATAGGACAAGGACAGAGTAAGAAGAGGAAATTAATGGCCAACCGCAGTAGTAGTGAGTATGGAAGAAGATCCTAAGTAAAATATTAGCAAACTAGGGCTGGGCATGGTGACTCACACCTGTAATCTCAGCACTTTGGGAGGCTGAGGCGGATGGATTTTCTGAGCTCAGAAGTTCGAGACCAGCCTGGCCAACATGGTGAAACCCAGTCTCTACTGAAATACAAAAAATTAGCAGGGTGCGGTGGCATGCGCCTGTAGTTCCAGCTACTCGGGAGGCTGAGGCACAAGAATTGCTTGAACCCAAGAGGCGGAGGTTGCAGTGAGCAGAGATTGTGCCATTGCACTCCAGCCTGGGTGACAGAGCAAGACTCTGTCTCCAAAAAAAATTTTTTTTTAAATTGGGAAACTAAATCTAAAAACAGAGGTAGTCTCGCACAAATGGAAACCAAAAGAATGTGTCACTAGCAGACATACCTGAGACTGGCTAAAGGAATTTCTTCAAATAGAAAGGAAATGATAAAAGAAGGAATACTGAAGCATCAGGAAGGAGGGAAGAATAATAGAAAGAGCAGAAATTTGCTTAATGATGCTTATCCTCAAGCATCACTATAAATCAGTGTTACAAATCATACTTGATGATTAAAACAAAAATCATAATACTATCTGATATTTAAGACAATATTTTAAGGTGGAAAAGATAAAGTGACCTAAATAAAAGGTGACTCAAAGTAATAAATGTTGTTACCAATAGACTATAAGTCACATATATATATATAGTAATACTCATATCAACCATCATAAAAACTATGCAAATATACCCAAATGCACTATAAACAAAACAGAATCCTAAAATATATTCAAGTAACCCACAACAAGGCAAGAAAAAAGAAACAGAGATACAAGAACCAGAAGAAAAAGAAAGAAACCAAATAATCAAATGGCAGACTTAAGCTCTAACATACCAATAACCACCTTATATATAAGTGGTCTAAATACACCAATCAAAAGAAAGGTCGGTAGCGTGGGCAAAGAAACATGACCCAGCTATAGGCTGTTTCCAAAAACTCACTTCAAATTCAATAACATCAATAGTTGGAAAGTAAAAGGATGGAAAAAGACCAAACAATTTTTAAAAAGCAGGTCTGGTCATAGTAATACACGATCAAGTATACTCTGGAGCAAGGAAAATTATTACAAAGAGAGGTATTACATTATGGTACAAAGATCAATCCACTAGCGGGACATAAAGACCCTAAATATACATGTGAGTATCAAACAAGAGCCCCAAAAGACATCAAGAAAAACCGACAGTGTTGGAAGGAGAAACAGACAAATCCACAATTATAGTTGGGGACTTCCATGCCCCTCTCATCAAGTGATAGAACTGCTAGACAGAAAATCAGTATGGAAACAGAACAGCTGAATAACTCAATTAATCAACATGATCCAATTGGCATACAAAGAACACTCAACCCAACAGTAGTGGTATACACATTTCATGCACCCATGGAGTATTCATCAAGAAAGTCCATATCCCGAGTAATAAAACGAACCTCAAGAGCCTTAAAATAATCAAAACCATACAGTGTGTGTTCTTTAACTGTACTTGAATCAAACTAGAAATCCGTAATAGGGAGACAACAGAAAATCTCTAAACACGGCAAAATTGAATAGCACAATTTTAAGTAGGGGTGGGCTAAAGATGAAGTTTCAAAGGAAACCAAAAAATACATAGAAGTGAATGACAACGAAGATACAGCATATCAAAATATGTCAGAAATAGCTAAAGCAGTGCAAAGAGGGCAACTGATAGAACTAAATGCTTACTAGTAACAGGGAAAGGTCTCAAGTCAGTAAGTCCCTCCCTCAAGGAACTAGAAAAGAAGAGCAAAATAAACCCAAAGCAAGCAGAAGGAAGGAAAAAGTAAACATAAGGGTAGAAATCAATGACACTGAATATATGAAAACAACAGGGAATATCCAACAAAAGTCTAGTTCTCTGGGAAATAAATCAATAGAGTGATAAAAGTCTAGCAAGATGGACAAAAATAAAGAAAGAGAAGACATGAATCACCAATATCTGGGATGAAACAAGAGATATCAGTACAGATCCCGCAGCCACTAAAAGGATAACAAGGGAATACAATGAACAACTTTACGCTCATACATTCAACAATTTAGAAGAAATGGACAAACTCCTCAAAAACTATTAAAACTCAACCAAGATGAAACAGATCATCTGAATGGTGCTATAACCATTAAAGACATTTAGTCCATTATTTAAAAACTCCCAAAAAAGAAACAGCTAAGCTCAGATAATTTCAACCAGAGAATTCTACCAAACATTTAAAGAATTAACACCAATTATCAATTTCTTCCAGAAAATAGAAGAGGAAATAATACTTTCCAACTCCTATTATGAGACCACTATTATCTTGATATCTAAACCAGACAGACATTATAAAAAAGACACTCCAGAGAGATATCTCTCATGAACTCAACAAATACTCAGCAAAATATTAGCAATCAATACAACAATGTGTAAAAATAATTATACACCGTGACCAATTGGGATATTTTCTAGGAATGTAAGTGATTCAACATTTGAAAATCAATGTAATCTGCCATATCAACAGATTAAAGGAGAAAAATCATATGATTACATCTATTGAGGCAGAAATAGCACAGGACAAAATCCAATGCCCATTCAGAAGAACTCTAAGTAAGTTAGAAATAGAGGAGAATGACCTCAAATTGATTAGGAGCACCCACAAAAAAACCTACAGCTAACATCATACTTCATGGTGAAAGAGTAAATGCTTTTCCCCCACCATCAAGAACACGACGAGGACGTCAACCTTCCCC